TGACTGGAGCGGTTTCTACGCTTAGCTAATCATGACGTGTGTGAATTCTAAATCTTGTTCCAATTCACAATTAACTGTTAATTGACCCATATTTTATAACCCTCCAGCCATGAACTTACGACTTGGATACAGGCACTACCAGACATTCACTGTTGTTGTTGTTTTTACAAGTGTTTTTAATGACATCGATGAGCGTGCTTGATTCCTAAACTCTTCTTTACAGTATAATTTAAAAATATGTGAGTGAGAAATGACGGAGAGCAGGGAGATGGGGAGAAACGCCCCATGGAAAACCCACTCATCTGCTTGCGGGTGTGGGAAACACTGTGTATCCGAGAACTCTTAATCACACAACAGATATGGCATCTCTCAAGGAGAAGTGGGTGTAATTCCAAAATCTAATTCTGGCAGGCTCTCCTGACTAAATACTTAGTCTGGAGATGTCTTCAAGGCAGGCGGAGGTTTTCAGTCCTGGCTGCACATTAGAAGTCCCAGGGGAGTTTTTAAAAACTCCCATGTCCTCCCTGCATCCCAGACTAATTAATCAGGATCTCTGAGGGTAGGATCAGATATCACGGTTTTGTAAATTTCCTTGGGGGTTTGGTGGGGTGGAGGTGGGGAGGCCCATCCTGTGGCCAAGCTTGGGGACCACTGCTTTTTTTTTTCTGAAACTGAGTTTCGCTCTTGCTGCCCAAGCTGGAGTGCAATGGCGCGATCTCAGCTCACTGCAACCTCCGCCTCCCAGGTTCAAGCAGTTCTCCTGCCTCAGCCTCCCGAGTAGCTGGGATTATGGGTTTGTGCTCCCATGACACCACATCCGGCTAATTTTTTTGTATTTTTAGTAGAGACAGGGTTTCACTATGTTGGCCAGCCTGGTCTCAAACTCGTGACCTCAGGTGATCCACCCACCTCAGCCTCCCAAAGTGCTTACAGGTGTGAGCCATCATACCTGGCCAGATCACTACTTTTTAAAAGACCTTTTTAAAAACCTTTTTTTAAGGTTTGGGTTTTTTTTGAGACAGGGTCTTACTCTTTCGCTCAGGCTGGAGTGCAGTGGCAAAATCTCAGCTGACTGCAACCTCCGCCTCCCAGGCTCAAGCGATTCTCCTGAAAAAGGCTGTTGGCTATTAATACTTCCCCACAGCTATTCTATTCATTGCTGCATGCTTCTTACTGTGTGCTAGAATGGGAGCTTTAAAGGATGATCTCATTTAATCCTCACAACCACCTGTGGGAGAGATGCCATTATCCCTGTTTGGAGAGTGAGACAGGGGCTTAGCAAGCTCAGTAACCTGTCCAAGTCGCACATCTGCACAGGGTTAGCTGCCTCTAAAGCTCATGCCATTAATCTTCATGGTACACAGTATCCTCCTTCTCCATAGCAATCTTGCGGCTTCCTTGTTAACACCAAAGAAACTTGTGTCCGTTGGCTTGAAAATTTCTAGCTAGAGAGCTCTTCTTGGGCTGCCAAGAAGCCCAATTTCTAATTGGATTTTTTTTAAAACTATGTCACACTCCTCATTCATTTGATGTATTCATCAAATATTTATTAAGCACCTGCTGTGTGCCTGGTATGCCGCAGTGACACCAGACATCCAGAGATCTTTTCCTCTTGCAGCTTATATTCTAGTTGGGAGAGAACAACAATAAACACAAAATCAGTAAGTCATTTCATATGGTGGTAGGTGCCTGGGGAAGACAAGCCAGGGTCATGGGATTAAGCCTGGCAGGGGGAGAGTGCCATTTTAGTTCAGAAGGGGCAGTGAGACCCTAACAATGCAAAGGACCCAGCCTGTGGAGATCTAAGGCAAGAGGGTCTCAGGGACAGGAACTTGCTGGGGCAAAGCTCCTGAGGCTGGACTGAGCTCAGTGTTCTAGGACAGGAGTGGGCAGTAAGGAGCAGCGGAGGAGGCTAGCTGGGAGATGGCCCGGGGCCTCTTTCTTCCCCTGCCTCCTTCAAAAAATAAAACTAGCTGGGTGTGGTGGTTCACACCTGTAATCCCTACAATTTGGGAAGTTCAGGTGAGTAGACTACTTGAGTCCAGGAGTTCGAGACCAGCCTGGGCAACATAGTGAGACCCTCCCCTCCCATTTCTACCCAAAAAATCAAAAAAATTAGCCTGATGGTACACACCTGTGGTCGAAGCTACTCAGGAGGCTGAGGCAGGAGCATTGCTTGAACCTGAGAGGCAGAGGCTGCAGTGAGCCATGACTGTGCCACCGCACTCCACGCCGGGTGACAGAGTGAGGCTCTCTCCCTAAATAAATAATAAATCTAAAACCTAACATCTTGGAGTGCAGTGGCACGATCACGGCTTGCTGCAGCCTCAATCTCCTGGGCTCAAGCGATCCTTCCTTTCAGCCTCCTGAGCAGCTGAGACAGGGTCCCACTACGTTGGACTGGCTGGTTTCGAACTACTGGGCTCAAGTAATTCTCCTGCCTCAGCCTCCCAAATTGCTGGGATTACAGCCACCACGACCGGTCAGGGAGTAATTTTTTTCCCCAGGGTGCTTTTTCTTTTTTATTTCCATAGGTTATTGGGGAGCAGGTAGTATTTAGCTACATAAGTAAGTTCTTTAGTGGTGATTTCTGAGATTTTGGTACACCCATCACTCAGTGTACACTACATCCAATTTGTAGTCTTTTATCCCTCACCCACTCCCCACTTTTCCCCCTGAGTTCCCAAAGTCTATAGTGTCATTCTTATGCCTTTGCATTCTCATAGCTTAACTCCTACTTACGAGTGAGTACATATGATGTTTCGTTTTCCATTCCTGAGTTACTTCACTTAGAATCGTAGTCTCCAATTCCATCCAGGTTACTGCAAATGTCATTAATTCATTCCTTTTTAATGGCTGAGTAGTATTCCATCATATATATATCACATTTTCTTTATCCGCTTATTGATTTTCATGTAGTTCTAATCATAGAATTCATACATTCTTTCCATCTTGCACTTTTCACGTCACAAACATTTTCTAGGTTGTTATACTATCTTCATAGTTACTTAAATAATATTCCATCAAGTAGTGCAGTCGTTTATTTCACTAGTCCTCTAACTTTAGACATTTTGGTTGTTTTTGAAACTTAATAATGTGAATAACACCGTGATAACATTGTTTATATAAATACATATTTTGGATTATCTCCTTAGGCTGGATTCCCAGAAGTCACATGAGTAGGTCAAAGAGTATGAGCGTCATTTTCATGGCTCTTGTTTTATTACCTTTTAATTTACACTTGCCTCAAGATTGCTGGTTTGCTACTTATGGTCACCAGAGTTACTCCCTCAGTCCAAATTCTTTGCTTTCCCAAACTGGAAAGGCCATAACTCAATGTCATATATGTAGTAAAGGTCATCATAACCTTCCCCAGAATTTTCCAAGCCAGTGATCTCTGAAGTGGCCTTTGGCTGTTAAAATCTGAATTCGAATGTCTCCTGAGACTCAGTGTTGTAAAATTTAAGCTGCTTAACTTGCCATGTTGTTTAGACACCACTTAATGCTTTATTACAAATGGCTTGTCAATGCCTTTCAGCTATGGACTTTGTCCTCCTACTCGCATGCCTCCTGCTAATACAATGAGGCCACAGATGACTGAATCTTTAAGATTTGGTAGGGGCCAGGCTCGGTGGCTCACACCTGTAATCCCAGCACTTTGGGAAGCTGAGGTGGGTGGATCACCTGAGGTCCAGGAGTTTGAGACCAGCCTGACCAACATGGCGAAACCTCGTCTTTACTAAAAGTAGTACAAAATTAGGTGGGCGTGGTGGTGGGTGCCTGTAATCCCAGCTACTCCAAGGCTGAGGCAGGAGAATCACTTGAACCTGGGAGGCAGAGGTTGCGGTGAGCCGAGATTGCTCCGTTGCACTCCAGCCTGGGCAACAAGAGTGAAACTCCGTCTCAAAAAAAAAAACAAAGAAAGATTCGGTAGAACGGTTGCCCTTCCTCTGGGGTGGGAGCATGCTCTTCATGCTGAAGCTCAGCTGAAAAGCCTCCTGCTGGATTCTCTGCCTCTTTCCATCCCAATGCACACACCCCAGGGCATTGACTCCTCTTCAAAGGGAGCCATGGGTGAAGAAAACATAGGTAAAGGCTCAGGGCTGATAAGGGGGTTGTAAATTCAAAAAGTAAGATTTCTGGCACTATCAACTATCACTTGTTTTCAAATATGCATATGGAGTGGATATTCCAGCTTTCATGTCTGTGTTGTTTTTTAAAAAAAGACCTTTCAAAGAACTGTGCAGTTTTTTACACCCTGACCTGCTGTGTTTGGTGTTAAACTGTCGGGGCTGATGGGTCACTTGGAAGGGGCAAGGGCGGAGGGACATGCAAGTGTGAGCTGGTTACTCACGGGCACTGTGGAGTCTGGCCCCACTGGACCCTTGTGCCCCAGAGAGAGTGCCGTCGGCTGGAGCCCTGATTCTGGCCAGCAGCGTCATCAGTGCACACTGTAAGACAGTCTTGGAAAGAAAGGGAAACTGGCTTTAAAATCTCTTGGTCTTTCCAGCAAAGCAACCTAAACCCATCTTTGGCTATAGAAAATAACACAGCCAGGTGCAGTGACTCGTGCCTGTGATCCCAGCACTTTGGGAAGCCAAGGTAGGCAGATCACTTGAGCTCAGGAATTCAAGATCAGCCTGGGCAACATGGTGAAACCCCATGTCTACAAAAAAAAAAAAAAAAAAGATTAGCCAGGTTTGGTGGTACATGCCCGTAGTCCCAGGTACTTGGGAGGCTGAGGTGGAAGGATCACTTGAGCCCGGAAGGCGGAGGTTGCAGTGAGCCAAGATCATGCCACTGCACTCCAGCCTGGGCAACAGAGTGACACCCTTTCTCAAAAAAATAAAAAAGAGTAACACATTATTAGAAGTGAGTATTCTGAAACCGTCTTCCATATGATGCTTTTGACAATTCAGCAGGAAAATAAATGATGTAAGAAATGAATACATATGGTAGGCTCCTTGCTGACCTGTGGACCCTATTGTTCCTCCCTGCAGAGATCAGCAAGGACAGCTCCTGCAAAGAAAACTGTACTTGCTCCTCCTGCCTGCTCCGGGCCCCCACCATCAGTGACTTGCTCAATGATCAGGACCTATTAGATGTGATCAGGATAAAGCTGGATCCATGTCACCCAACGGTGAAAAACTGGAGGAATTTTGCAAGCAAGTGGGGCATGCCCTATGATGAATTGTGCTTCCTGGAGCAGAGGCCACAGAGCCCCACCTTGGAGTTCTTGCTCCGGAACAGTCAGAGGACGGTGGGCCAGCTGATGGAGCTCTGCAGGCTCTATCACAGGGCCGACGTGGAGAAGGTTCTGCGCAGGTGGGTGGAGGAGGAGTGGCCCAAGCGGGACCGTGGAGACCATTCCAGGCACTTCTAGAGCGCTTCTGCTTCCTTCCTTGGCCTCTTTGGACGTTGAAACAACCACGAGTCAAGAAGGAATGTGAATCAGTTCTTTTGTAAGAGTTTAGGATAAGGACGTGGAACAGTGGACGCTGGTTTTCCCCGAAGTTGGCGGTTTTGCGGAGGGGCAGCTTGTTTTGGTGGCGGATCTCTGTTTATTTTTGCACATCTATTTTAATTTAATATTTGAATCTGGAATTAGGAAAAGATATTTTCGAGTCTCCTGTAAGGGCCAAAGTCCTATAATCGGAATGGATTCATGCCATGATGAAAATAAAATGATCCTCTGCCTGAAATACGGCTAAAGATTTAAATAGGTCCTGAGACTGTTGAGAGCCCCAGACATAGACACATTTCATGTAACATCCCTCCTGATCAGTGCCATTCCACAGTTTTGAAGAAAACAGCAATGAACGCTCACCATGGTGTCTGCAACACCCTCTGCTTCTCTCCTAGGCGATGAGACCCAGAAGCTAGAAATTCACCATGTCTATTTTCAAGATCCATGCCAGGGAGATCTTTGACTGTCGTGGGAATCCCACTATTGAGGGTGATCTCTTCACCGCAAAAGGTCTCTTCAGAGCTGCTGTGCCCAGTGGTGCTTCAGCTGGTATCTATGAGGCCCTAGAGCTCTGGGACAATGCTAGGACTCGCTATATGGGGAAGGGTGTCTCAAAGGCTGTTGAGTACATCCATAAAACTATTGCACCTGCCCTGGTTAGCAAGAAACTGAACGTCACAGAACAAGAGAAGATTGACAAACTGATGTTCGAGATGGATGGAACAGAAAATAAATCTAAGCTTGGTGTGAATGCCATTGTGGGGGTGTCGCTCGCCGTCTGCAAAGCTGGTGCTATTGAGAAGGGGGTTCCCCTGTACCACCACATCGCCAGCTTGGGCGGCACTTCCGAAGTCATCGTGCCAGTCCTGGCATTCAGTGTCATCAATGGCGGTTCTGTGCTGGCAACAAGCTGGCCATACAGGAGTTCATGATCCTCCCAGTGGGTGCCGCAAACTTCAGGGAAGCCATGCACACTAGAGTGGAGGTTACCACAACCTGAAGAACGCCATCAAGGAGAAACATAGGAAAGACAGCAATGTGGGGGCTGAAGGCAGGTTTGCTCCCAACATCCTGAAGAATAAAGAAGGCCCGAAGCTGCTGAAGCCTGAGATTGGGAAAACTGGCTACGCTGCCAAGGTGGTCATCAGCCTGGACAGAGTGGCCTCCAAGTTCTTCAGGTCTGGGAAGTATGACCTGGACTTCAAGTCTCCCAATGACCCCAGCAGGTACATCTCATCCGACCAGCTGGCTGACCCGTAGAAGTCCTTCATCAAGGACTACCCAGTGGTGTCTGTTGAAGATCCCTTTAACCAGGATGACTGGGGAGCTTGGCAGAAGTTCGCAGCCAGTGCAGGAATCCAGGTAGTGAGGGACGATTTCACAGCGACCAACCCAAAGAGGATTGCCAAGGCCATGAATGACGAGTCGTGCCACTGCCTCCTGCTCAAAGTGAACTAGATTGGCTCCATGACCGAGTCCCCTCAGGTGGAAGCTGGCCCAGGCTAATGGGGGGTGTCATGGTGTCTCACTGTTCTGGGGAGACTGAAGATACCTTCATCGTGGACCTGGTGGTGGGGCTGTGCACTGGGCAGATCAAGGCTGGTGCTCCTTGCCAATCTGAGCGCTTGGCCAAGTACAACCTGCTCCTCGGAACCGAAGAGGAGCTGGGTGGCGAGGCTGTTTGCCGGCAGGAACTTCAGAAACCCCCTGGCCAAGTAAGCTGTGGGGAGGCCAGCCCTTCAGTCACCTGTTAGCTAATTAGACCCCTCCCCTCGTGTCAGCTTGGGCAGCTTGAGGCCCCCGACCAACACTGGCAGAGGTCCCTGCTAGTTAGCTCCCCTCCCCCACCGCCATGGAGTTCGCACCGCTTCCTTAGAACGTCACAGAAGCCAAGCTCCCTGGAGCCCTGTCGGCAGCCCTAGCTTTGCAGTCGTGTAACTGGCCCAAATCATTGTTTTTCTCGCCTCACTTCCCACCAAGTGTCTGGAGACATGTGAGCCTCCAGGGTCATCTCCAGGGTGGCCACAGGCAAGATCCCCAGTGATTTTGTGCTCAAAATAAAAAAGCCTCAGTGACCCATGAGAAAAAAAAGAAAGAAAGAAAACAGCAATGAGAACTGAACCTGTCTTGTTGGCTTATTGTTACAAAGTACATGGGTGAATTAACAGGATGCTGGTATTATACTGTGATACTCTTCAGAACACGTGCCCGATCTTTTTTATGCAAATATGTTTATAATCTGTGAACTATCTGTTATGACATTTGCTCAAGTACTTTTAAAAGGACATACAGAAACTGATGGTTATTGGGAAAACAGGAAGTAGGGAGGTAATACAGGCCATGGGAATAGTAGTTGACAAAGAGAGTACTCCAAATCCCCTTTGGCTTTAAACAATTGAATGTGATATTTAAGCCAGGCGTGGCAGCTCACGCCTGTAATTCCAGCACTTTGGGAGGCTGAGGCAGGTGGATCACTTGAGGTCAGGTGTTTGAGACCAGCCTGGACAAGTTAGCAAAAACCTGTCTCTACTTTACAAAAATTAGCCGGGCATGGTGGTGGGCGCCTGTAATCCCAGCTACTTGGGAGGTTGAGGTGCCGGAATAGCTTGAACCCAGGAGGTGGAGGTTGCAGTGAGCTGAGACTGCACTGCTGCACTCCAGCCTGGGCAACAGAGAGGGACTCCGTCTCAAAATAATAATTAATAATAATAATTTAATGTAATATTTACTTTCTCATCCTGTACATAAGGCTGAGTGCTTCACCCCTGAGAGAAAGCTCAGTTAAGAAATAAATGAAAATCCCTGACCTATTGGTGAAATGTAACCATCTCCAGCTCCTAGTAGCCCAGCTTAAACAGGGCCCCATCTCACCGCACAGCAGTTTAGCCAAGAAGAGGGAGTCTTTATGTGGACCCTGGGAGGGAAGGGATTCCTTCAAATCCAAACTTTAAAGGATTTTAAACAAATGAAAAATTTGGTTCAAAGAATATCTAATGTTCTTATTTGATGGTTTTAGAGAAGGGACAGTGCGGGGCATGGGGGTTTGTTATTGCAAAGGTCAGATTTTCTAGGTTATTTTGGGGGAAAAAGATAAAAGGCAAGCCGGGCGCGGTGGCTCAAGCCTGTAATCCCAGCACTTTGGGAGGCCGAGGCGGGTGGATCACGAGGTCAAGCGATCGAGACCAGCCTGGTCAACATGGTGAAACCCCGTCTCTACTAAAAATACAAAAAATTAGCTGGGCATGGTGGCGCGTGCCTGTAATCCCAGCTACTCAGGAGGCTGAGGCAGGAGAATTGCCTGAACCCAGGAGGCGGAGGTTGCGGTGAGCCGAGATCGTGCCATTGCACTCCAGCCTGGGTTAACAAGAGCGAAACTCCATCTCAAAAAAAAAAAAAAAAAAAAAAAAAAAGATAAAAGGCAAAGCCTTGGTTTGACTGGCAATTCCATGAAAGTGCTATTTGATTTTGATTATAGGCATAGAAAATTAAGACACTTAGTTCAGTTTGGAAGGATTCTGTATAAGTCTCTGATTAAAATAAGCAAAAATGATGAGTAACACTGATTCAGTGCAACAGAAAGATTGAGATTAACTCAAAAGAAAGTTATTTTCTAAACCACCGTCTTTTTTCCCCACTAACAATTACAGTGGTTTTCATTAGGTTGCTAACACATGAAGTCGGCCTCGCCATCAACTGTAATCTCCAAACTAGCAAAATCTATCGTAGAGATATACTTATCACTTCTGACTCAGTGCTGCTCTCGCCTAGCTCATCTTCTCTTGTCAGATTTTTGAGATAAATGTCAGATTTATCACCAGATATATTGAAAGTAACAGCCACTAATAAAGTGTTGAGATTTTAAAAAATAGATTCTTTGGCAAATTGGTGCTTGGTGAGGCAGTGATTAAACATTTTTATCAGCCAGGTTCCAGGCACTACACAGAAGCCATTAGGAGTTCTCACCATCTACGAATTGGATTTGATGTCTCACATCCTCAGTAAGCTACGTGTGACACATTCTCACTTATTAGCCCAGAATTCACTGTGGGGAAATGGAAAAGGGCCTTCCGTTTCTCCATTTTGGAGAAGTGGAGTTGAAAAGGCTGTGGGTGTTTGGTGCTGCGTGGTAGCGGACCCCAGCAGTCTGATGCTGCACCCCTTCTAACCTGCCACCCCTGGGGATGCAGAGTGGATCTCAGGGTGACAATCTTCCGCACATGACTGCCTGGCCAGGTGCCTCCATAAAGCCCCCTCCTTCCCCCATCTCCACCCAGGCCCACTTGTCACCTCAGCCTAACACCAGCCTGCACAGTCTGTGACCACCATCCCCGCAGTGGTAGAGGGAGACGGGGTGGGGGGGCGTGGGAGGGAAAACCCCTTTCTATACCTTTCCTCAGCCTGCTCGTTCCTCCTCCCACCTCGGGGCCTCCACCTCCCCCAGACAGAGACAGAAAAGATGGAAGAACAGGTGGGACCTCCACCCCCACCCCAAGCCTTTATCCCTGTGGAGGGAGGAGGGAAACGTTTCTCTCATTTCCAGAGACAAAAGGCAGAGGCCAGCAAGAAGAAGGGGCACCTTCGGGAAGAAAGGCATTGAAATAGCACCCACCCCACCCCCTGCCACCCTCCTTCCCGCTCCCATCTTTTCCTAGTCTTCACTCAAGTCCTCCGCTCAGAGGAAGCCCTGCTCTATTGAAAGCAACAGGGTCACTCTCAGTGGCCTGGGACTGCAGCCCAAGAAGGGGGCTTCTAACTGCCTCCAAAGGGGCCACAGCAGCAAAAGTAAATAAAAATTGGAAAATGTTCTTAAATTTTAAATTTTAAATTTGGAAAACGTAGTGAGCACGACCTCTAGGGGGCATGTTTCCAAAATTCCAACCACAAAAGTGCAGACTCAAAACTAATCGTACCCTGAACTTACCACCTTATCTCAAGCACAGCTGTTGTTCAGATTGGTCAGTGGAACTGTCCTTCCTTGAGTTGGATCAAACATGTCAGGCAAGATGACATTTGCTGATTTGCAGTGTTCAGGCAGATGACACACAGGCAGAGTTGAGTGTGCTCCTTTACCCTGAAATTCACGAATAACAGGGAAAACAGGGAACCACAGTGCACCGCCCACTCGCCTCTCCATTTGGTGTCAGTATTTCCAGAGTCCTGATTGCTAGTGAAGTCTAACCCTGGATTTATCGCCGTCTCATTGCTAGCATGGCTAGGGAAGCTTTGAACATCCTTAGAGTTTTGTTATGTTTTTTTTTTTTTTTTTTTGGAAAGAGAAAAAGAATAATAAGAAAAAGAATAAAGAAGAGGAAGAAAGAGAAAGAGGAAGAGGGAGAGAGGATGGGGGTATTGCTTTGTTGCCTGGGCTAGAATGCAATCTAAATATGGGTATGCCTATAATTGTCCTTAATAATGGAGACATGAAAGAAAGTGAGGGAAGAGAGTAACAAACAAGGAGCCAACCAACATTTCGTTTAAACTTCTAAGTTGATATGATGTGGTACTGTTAAAGAGTGTACATTTTGTGTAAAGTGGAGAGCTCTATGAATGTTAATTACGTCCACTGGTTCCAGATCTGAGTTCAAGTCGTGGACATCGTTATTAATTTTCTGTCTCATTGATCTGTCTAATATTAATGTTGAAGTCTCCTACTATTATTGTGTGGGAGTCTAAGTCTCTTTATAAGTCTTGTATGTCTGGGTATTCCTGTATTGGGTGCGTATATATTTAGGACCTTTAACTCTTCTTGTTGTTGCATTGATTCTTTTATCATTATATAATGTCCTTCTTTGCTTCTTTTGATCTTCGTTGCTTTAAATACTATTTTATCAGGGGCAAAAATTGTAACTTCTGCTTTTTATTTATTTATTTTTGCTCTCTGGTTGGTTGGTAAGTCTCTCTCCATCCCTTGTTTTGAGTCTTTGTGTATCCTTGAATGTGAGATGGGTCTGGATGCAGCATACAGTTTTAGTTTTTTGTCGAAATTGCCTGTCTGTCTTTGAATTGGGGAATTTAGTCGATTTAAATTTAGAATTAATAATTATATATTACTTTTTGGTATTTTTTAGAAAGGCTGATACTGTTTGTTCCTTTCTATGTGTAGTGGTTCTTTCAGAAGCGCTTGTAAAGCAGGCCTGGTGGTGATGAAATCTCTGAGTGCTTGCTTGTTCACAAAAAACTTTATTTTTCCTTCACTTATGAAGCTTAGTTTGGCTGGATGTGAAATTCTTGGTTGAAAGTTCTTTTCTTTAAGGATGTTGAATATTGGTCCCCACTCTCTTCTGGCTTGTAGGGTTTCTGCTGAGAGATCTGCTGTAAGTCTGATAGGCTTCCCTTTGTGCGTAACCTGACCTTTCTCTCTGGCTGCCCTTAGTATTTTCTCCTTCATTTCAACCCTGGTGAATCTGACGATTATGTGCCTTGGAGTTGCTCTTCTTGAGGAATATCTTTGTGGTGTTCTCTGTATTACCTGGAGTTGAATATTGTCCTGCCTTAGTAAGTTGGGAAAATTTTCCTGAATAATATCCTGAAGCATATTTTCCAGCTTGGATTCATTCTCTTCGTCACATTCAGGTACACCTATCAAGCGTAGATTAGGTCTTTTCACATAGTCCCATATTTCTTGGAGACTTTGCTCATTCCTTTTTATCCTTTTTTCTCTAATCTTGTCTTCTTGTTTTATTTCATTGAGTTGGTCTTCGACCTCTGATATCCTTTCTTCTGCTTGATCAATTCGGCTGTTAAAACTTGTGCATACTTCACGAAGTTCTCGTATTGTGTTTTTCAGCTCCATCAATTCACTTATTTTCCTCTCTGAATTTTGTATTCTTGTTGACATTTCGTCAAACCTTTTTTCAAAGTTCTTAGTTTCTTTAGATTGTGTTAGAACAAGTTCTTTTAATTCACAGAAGTTTCTTATTATCCACGTTTTGAAGCCTGCTTCTGTAATTGGAACACACTCGTTCTCCATCAAGCCTTGTTTCGTTGCTGATGAGGAACTGGGATCCCCTGCTGAGGAAGAGGCGTTTTGATCTTGGGTATTCTCAGTCTTTTTTGACTGTTTTCTTCCCTTCGTTGTAAAT